TCGATCTCAAGTAGACATATTAACAAATTCAAATCAGTTTTCAGAAGTCTTATCGCGCCATAAGGTCCATCGGTATGATTGCTACAAGGTGGAACCTTGGATTGGTACATTTTGGCTGAAATCGTAGACCTTATACTAAATATAGACGGAGCATGGGCTTAGTTCTAGAGGTCCCACGTGAGTGTGCTGTTCGGCAATTAATCAATTACTACGCACATGAGCAATATAATTTCAGAACATGGCAACATGCGTACCTACTGTATTATTATTAAAAAATACAAATTATCTTTGTATACAAAAGACAAACAATGACTGTATAGTGTATGTCCAGTGGCGTGGAGAGCATATTTCAAACTCTAAACAATGTATTTGAAAAATGACCCATTACACCAATTACCCCCTACTACATAATATACAATTTAAAGCTTCATGCTAATTAGCTAATTTAGAATTTTTGTTATAGAACGTCATCAATAACTTAGTATAAAAAAAATACTATAATACTTGATTAAATACACATTCAAAAATTTAAATTTTTAAATTAATGGGTAAGTGGGTGTTGCCTACTTGTAGGTTACTGCAAGTGGGTTACTGTATAATGGATTGTGTTAAATTGGAATTCATTGATATAATATCATTGTATACGAAAAACGATTCAGTGCGGAGACGGTTTGTCATGGGCCTAGGATTATTTATATTATATTTAAATTGTTATTATTAATATTTGATACTGTAGCCGGTAAGTTCAATTAATATTATTTGCATATTATCATATTTCAATATTTGTATATAATAATATACTTGAGAAGTACCCACAAATAATATTTTTAAAGTAAAACAAAATAACTAAAATCGTTATTCTTGGTTATTGAATATTATGTAATTTCATAAAAATTTGAACTTAAAATACTTATAACTATAAAAAATAAAACAGCAGTAATCATACATTTTTTTAGATTCTTTGGTTACAGAATTAACTACTTACGTAGTTTCGTGAAACGTAAATTTTTTATGTTAATTAAAGTAGGAAGAGTGAAGGGAACTGGGAAATCTTGTATTACATTTTCAAAGCTTAAATATAAGTAGACACTTTTTTCCGACTTTCTAACTCGAAATAATTTGGCAATTTTCATGATTTTAATGAATTTTTTCAACATTTTAACTTCAGACCCTTATGAAAATCTATAAGGGATTTACGCTCACCTTTTTTTAAAATTTACACTAACAACTACTTAATATGAAGAACGTTTTATTAAGTTTTCAAGTTTTTGCATAGAATATTTTATCGACAAGAATTTAAAAAAAAAACTAATGACTACCTGATAATATATTGGTCGCATAATCACAAGCAAATCTCACGGACTTCTAATTATTCCCACTATAAATTAAAATATTATATTATTTACATACTTTAAGAGACATTGCTTCCACAGCGTGTTACAACCATAATAATGAGTTGAACAATCACAAAAAACTACAATAGCAATACTCATTGACGTGGTCAGGCACGTACAAAAAAAAATTTGGGGGGGGGGGGGTTGAACCCCCAAAACCCCTCAGTTGATAGTAGTAATTAAAATATAATATTATTATAAATAGTCAATAGACCGCACGAATTATTGTGTGATAGAAATCATCACATATTCTATTATATTATACAGCCAAAACGGCCGTAAATGGGTATAGATGCATAACTGTTATATTCTTACGAATTACTATGGTTCATTATACAAATATGAGACGATTGCAGATGTGTCTTTAATTAAAACTACATTAAATAATGAATATTTCAAATTGTTTAGATTGTTAATGAGTATTAAAAGATAAATCAAATAAAAATAATTTTCAGTTTGGCACCCCTTCCGTCCTGGCGCCATGGGCAGTCGCCCAGGTCGCCCATCATAGCTTACGCCGGCCCTGATAATAATATATTAGTATACAGGAACAAAAAAAGTCCTTATGACCATTATCGAATTATCAATAATAAGGGTGATAATATCCATGTTTGTGTTTTTTTTGTTAAACGCAAGTTTTATTCATAATAATGTTCATATCTGCAAAACCGTAGGTACTACAATTAATTTGAATACATTGACGAAAAGCTCATAAAATTGGGATTAGGAAAACATATCTTACAAGATTCCCACCTAAATTTGTTGGTTAAAAAGAATAACACAAATGTTTTAAAACTTTAAAATGTCGAAATTTAAAAAAGTGCTCTGTTGTACAGTAGGTTACAAGTGGGTCACTGTAAAATGGATGTATACAATTTGAATTCAATGATATAGTATTATTATATAAGAAAAACGATTCTGAGCGGGGACGGTATGTCAGTCTATAGGTTTAAGACATATTATATACATATCTATGGTATTAAAAAAAAAATTGACATAAAATAAATTCCAAATTAGGTACTTATAACACGTTATACATCAACGATAAACCGTGATACTATCATAGATATATAATAGTACACTTTAGAAGTTTTTAACTACAAAATAATTATTCAATTTTAAATTTGATAAAGTTTGTCAAAATTCGATCTTTAAATGCTTATAAAAAAAAAAATGTGGCTATGTATTTTTAATATTTTTCAATTGCTATTGTAAAAATATATCAATAGCCTTGTATTAAATTTTTACACTGTTTGGCCCAACAGATAAAACTTTATTGATATTTATAGAAAAAAAAACTAAAAAAATATTTCGACTACTTATCGTGTACACAGACACAAAAAAAAAAAAAAAATAAAAAAAAAACACACATCATTGTAAAATCAAAACATTCATCGTTCCACTCAGAATCTAAAATAAAAAAACACACATCATTGTAAAATGAATACATTCATCGTTTCACTCAGAATCTAAAAAATTTCAGTTTTATCTAACAACAATTATGGGCTAGGGTCATAAAGACTTTTTTTGTTCTATTTGAGGAAGTTTGACACATTTATCGTACACTCTGTATTATTACCATGAAGACGAGAATATTCTACTCTTCATGAATAATTTTTTTAGATTTTATGATCCATCCAGGCTCCTTACTTATAAAACCAATGTAAGTTAGCTTAAGGTTTTCATTCAAATCAGGTCTTAGCTCCTCATCCTGGTCTTTTCTAACAACATAAAGCCATATTTTTCTTGGACGTCTCTCTTTCTCGGTCTACTCCGATCTATTTCATTTACCATTAACATCTTATTAAGACAACCATCAGCTCCCCATTCATATTTTATGACACTGACCAGTCCAACCGAGTCTTGAATTTCAATTCAGGCTTTTGAGAATGCAAAAAAATATTGATGTTTCAAAACATCGATATTTTAAGCAAAAATAATCGATGTTTGATATAAATGTTTTATTTTCGATATCTTGCATCGATGTTAGAGCGTTATTCTCGCAAGAGATTCATAATTATTAAACAATATAACAAATTTTAACATTTTAATTTTAATCTATAAATAATAATCAACTCATGCGGGTACACAAATACATGATATAATAATATATAATGGTATCAATGCGTCATTGTTGAAGTAGATTCTTATCTTAAATCGTAATATAATTAATAATAGATTGGTATTTAATATTTATGAATGGACTATAATTTATTATCCAAGTATAGAAATAGCTATATTTAAATTTCATATTACAAACTTCGATGTTTTTAAAATTGTCGATATTTACTCAAATACTTCGTGTTATTGATGTCGATTTTTAACTGAAATGTCGATAAATCGATATATCGATTAAACCTATTATATCTTGTCGGCGATCATAAATGTAAGTAATGGGTAATCATGGACAAATGTAGTTTTCTATATATTTCTTCCATAATAATATATTATCACTTGTATTTTAATCAAAACAATACCATGGAATAAAAACAGAAAAATATTTTTTCCATGTTATTTACCCTCTCCGGTCTTGTTAGTATGGGTGAACTTATTTATGGTGGGGGGGAGGAACGCGCTGCCCATGTAAAGTATATCTATAGAACAGACTGTAATACACGATAACTATATCCTTAAATTGTGCCGTAAACATAAAAAGATTGAGAAAATGAGAAATTGAGAACCACTTGCGTAGTATCTGATTAATGATTATGACGACAAATCACAAACGTCGATGATAGGAAAAATACGTTAAATATCGGGGTCACATGGTTGGCGGCACTGGCGCGTCAAAACAATGGGACCACTGTTGACGTTGCGCGTTTGCTCCATGAACGGTTGTCCGCCGTCGCGCGGACGGGGCGAAAACGAGCGTCGTTGCCCTTTCTCCCCTTTAATCGTATCTCCATTCCGAAAGAACGGTTGTCGCTGCAAAACACAGACACGATCCGGACGCGGAAAAACGCTCCGGACCTGATTCGAAAACTGTCGAAGCGACGGCCGAGCGTCCGAGCGCAAGAAAGATCGGTCGAATCGAAGAGATTTAGCTCTCGGAAAATCGATCGGAATCGTAATGATGCCCATCACGTGACCCGGCCCGGCCAATGGGGACGTTGCATCCTTATACACCACCCCGTCCCGCCCGCCAATCGGCAGTTTTCGGGCATTAATGGTCGTATATGCGAGTTTCTCCGTTTTTGGTACGGAAATTAATTTATTGCCGATGCGCCGGGACCGAAGTGGGCATTCGAGAAATGACCGCGTAGTGCCGAGTTAGCGGGAATAGGTGTTTTCGCCCGTGCGCGCGTGCCATCAACCACACGGGAAATACGTCGACGTGCGACCGACGAGTACGCGCCGCGTTACCGCCGCCGCCGCCACCGCAGCCGCAGCCGTAGCCGTCGCAGACCGCAGTAATAATAATAACAATAACAATAACAATAATAGTAATAGTAGCGGCGACGACGACATAAATACGTTTAACGATAATAATGGTGGTCGCGCCGTCGGGTTACCACCTCGACGCCGCCGGGAAGTCGTTCGTCGCGCGCAACACCATCACGTCCTGTCACCGCCGTCGTTCACGTTATTAGCCCCAGCGTACCGTTTATGTATGTTTCAGCCACAGTCGAAAGGTACGTTTATCCGTTAGGTGCTAGGCGCCAGTTAAATCGCGCGCGCGCTGGAGGTATGGAGCATTCCTCCAAATGCGCTCCCCAGAAATATAGGTATTAGGTAGAAATAGGTAGGTAGGCAGGTAGGTGAACCGTGGAAGTTGCGCGGTTTTTTCTCGTTCGTCGAAAATCGTGTCCGGTACCCCCCCGTGGAACCGCGGCCGTAATCATCGGGGGGACGGTCGCGGGGGAACCCGCCATGTTGATGTCGGCGTAAGCGCCAAAACCGTAAAATAACGCTAACGGTGTATTGGCGGCTTACGCACACACACACACACGCATATATACGTTACGTACACGTTAAAGCGCGCGCGTACACACACACACACGCTCACGTCTGCACTCACACACACACGTTCACAAGCGCGCCAACACGCGCGCACACACACACACACAAGCGGCGCACACCACGTACATGTCGCGGCCGCCGTCCAGTTACTGGTCGCGGCGGTTATTAATAAAATAACAAAACAAATAATAGTAATAATAATAGTATAGAACACTGTGACATTATTGTTATAGTATAATATTAAAATATTTTATAATATTATATTAATATTTATTAACGGACACACATGGGTGTAAGCGTTCCGTGGGCTCGTGTGTTGTTCGCGTTAAACGCCGCCGTCGCGCCGTTCCAGTGTTCTCTGATCAATTTTCGCGCCCAAGTTCGGTGCGCGCCCGTTCACGTCGCATCAATGCTCTGACTTGCCGCCACCGTCGCCGCAGCCGCCTCATCAGCAACGCCGCCGACGCGCCGCTACATTTGCCCCATCAAACAGGTAGCCCCCCGTGTTGGTTTTTGACCCCGTAGCGCGTTGCATTAGGGTACCGCGCGGACAACGGTGTCTCGTGACCCGAGTGGGTCCGACGTACCGAGGACAGCGTCATCCGTGTCGGTTGCCGCCGTTTTCGTTTTACCCGCCGTTTTTTTTTTCATTCCCAATTCTCCATGCTGATATTTTTTTGGCTTTTCATCTATCTGGCGCGTATGATAATTGACCCACACGTACCGTCCGTCGTCTGGACCCGTCTCGTTGTATCCATCTAGGCACGGTGAGTGTCAAAATGTCTGGGCACTGATCGTTTTGGTCGGTACGTGTGGAGTTGTTTGGTAGCATTAACTATTCAGTATTCATCACGTTCAATGTAAGTACATAGTTCTGGTTTTATTTTGCCAAGCATCTTTGGTCTTCCATCGCAACGGTAGTATATTATCCTTTTCGTTTGTCTTCATCTAATTCATATTCATTTCATCGTAATTTATGCGTTTATTCTACATACATGTTATTATAATATGTTATATCTTTCGTACGACGGTCAGTTAGTTTCATTTCATTTTGAATAATTATAAAAAACCTTTAATTTTCAATCAAAACTTAGTTTATACTTATCTTAAAGGGGAACAGATAGTTACAATTTAAAAGTATTGTATTACAAATTGTTTTAAGATAACTGAACTCTATATGTTTTGTGGTGTGTATATCAATACAATTTAGTGCATTTGGGTGTTTTCAGATTACTTGTATTGAATGCGATGCTTCCAATTTAATTTTTATTTTGTGTGATAATGTTAATGAAATAGACTTTAGGTGGTATCCGGATGTATACCACATAAAAACAGTTTTACAAAAACATCATTCCAAATTAAGGTAGGTATTCGGCTCTTGGTTTAGAAGAATAAAGTAAAATAATTTGGAAACACCTAAATAAAATTATTCTTTTTTATGAATTAAATTTTACATTTGCTTAAGTTTTTATAAAAATTTTATCGTCTGTTTGATTAAGTAGCTTTCTGTATTGATGTACTAGGGTTGATCAAATTTAGATAGGTACTAAGTATATTCCAACTAAATAATGGTTTCTGAACAGCAATATAAATCTTATATTGAAACTGGTAGGAGCATAATGATTAATGTGAAATAGCCTACTTAGCAAGTATTTTTAGGCCAACTGATCTGATAATAAATAAAAGTCAATGTCCCAATTATATATTATTAACGATTCAAATGTATTAGCCTAAATCTAAATAAGTATTATTTGAATAAGTTAAAATTGTCTAAATAATAAGCCATAAAAATATACTCATGAGTTAAGTTGTTCAGAACACCAGAGTAGTTAAATATGTTATTATTTATTTGTTACAAAATCCAAATGTAAATGATATACCTATCTTTTTAGGTGTTACGTATATGTAGGTGATAATAAAAAATCATGATTAATTTACACAATTGTATATTATTTCAGTGGGTTCAATATGCAGCAGGTGCCAGTTTCAACTCAAAATAGTGGTGTGCCGGCAGTAAGTATTCTTACCTTAAATTGATAAATTTACCAATATAACTAGGTGTAGGCACAAATTTAATTACCTATTTATGATTGAATAGGCTCAATACTTTGGAAAAACCCGGGAAAAACATATTTCTGTTTCAATAATATTTGTATAAATAATGTTTTTAATGAATATAGAGTTAATTACCAATATGCAGGTAGTTGTAAATGTAAACTTGAAGCAATAATGATTTGGGTTTATTTTATTTTGGTCAGCATTAGAAATTTTAAATTTTTATTTACATATTATAATTATATTGTAATTTATTTACATATTTAATTGATATGTTTTAAGTAGTCATAAAATTGTTAATCTTGTATAAAAAAACATAATCCATAAATATTTATACCTATCCCATAAAAATAACCAACAATTACCTAAGTGATAACAATAATGATGGACACTTGACCTTAAAATTACATGCATATTCCAGTTTATGAAGCATTGAAGAAAAATTTTAAACTTAAGATTTAAAAATATTAAGAATTCATCAAATTTACAAACACATTTTTAAAAATTATAAATATTAAAAATTGTTAAATAATAATAATATTAAATAGTAAATGCATACATTTTACTTTTATACTTCTGATGTGTATACCTACATGTTTTATGCAGGTTAAAAAAATTACTTATATATTTATTTTACTATCAAATTAGGATACTTCAAATGCAAAGCCTGATGGTGGAGAGGTTGCACCACCACGGAATGAGCCATATATTGAGCCGGTGAATGGTATTGTTCAACCACCAGTTGTACCTCCACCAAATCGACCTGGCCGACTCACCAATAAACTTAATTTCCTTCAAAAGACTGTAATGAAGGCTCTTTGGAAACATCAACATGCGTGGCCTTTCTATCAGCCGGTGGACGCCAGCAAACTCAATTTACCTGTAATTTATAATTTTTATAATTATCAAAACATAACATTTAACTTAATGGACTGTGGTGGGGTAGTCTCCCACTCACACATTCTCACAACAGAATTAAATTACAATTACAAGGGGCTGCTATTCCTTAAAATCGCTCTTCGGCCACAATTTACTTAAGCTACCTATTGTGGCCCGAATTGAGGGGATAGAGCTACTCTTGTAATTGTAAATAAGTACTGTTGTGAGGATGTGTGAGTTTGCGATTGGCTCACCACAGTCCATGAAGTTAAATGTAATGTTTTTAACCTAACCTAACCTATAGTTTTATGGTATAGTGCTTCACACGCCTGAACCATTAGACGAGAGAACTGTGTTGTGGATTCAGTGAAATCAATTTTGTGTTGTTAGCTTTAATATTACCTACAGTTAACATTATATTATTAAATATTACCTACAGTTAACATTATATTATTAAACAAGGGTAAAAATATTATCTACTAAAGGGTTTTTATTAATATTTTAACTATACAATTTGTTACTATGTAAAATATTACAATTTTATAATAATCATTAATCGATTATAATTTAATTAACAATAAAAAACCTCCAAGATGCCTCAGACAATATTCTTAAATTTTAATTTTATGGCCATTCACTTGTATAACATAACATAACATAAAATTGGGTCTAATGAATTGACCAAGTTGTACCCTGCGGGTTTGATATCCTCCTTAATCATTGAATACGTGTAAAATATACATTTATGTCTACATGTGAATCTTAAAACAATATTCATAATGTATTACATATTATTAGGTATTTAGGTACACAATATAAACTTGATTAAATGATATAAGTCTACTTAGGTATTATATATTTGGATATATTTTGAATTTATAGTATACTCTACATTAAGAGGACGTGATATCCGCATGTGTTGTCTCCGTCTTACAAGTTCATAACATACCAAATTACGCAAGCAGAACACGTGTAGCTCCATTAACTTAAAAATTAGACTAAATTGACCTCTTATTAAATCTAAAGGTAAGATTATTATCTAGACAAACTCATTAGATTTTTACTATATTTTAATTTTTAAGCGAGTTATGAGTTCTTTAAAATGTGCAAACAATTTACATTTTTAAATTACTCATAGCTTGCTTTAAAATTAAAATATAATAAAAAGCCCATGAGGTTGTCTAGATAATAATCTTACCTTTAGATTTTATAAGAAGTCATTTCACTCTAATTTTTAAGTAAACAAAGCTACGCGTGTTCTGTTTTGTGTATAATTTGCTATTTTACGTACTTGTAAAACGGAGACAACACATGCGGGTATCACGTCCTCTTAATTTTGGTGGTTGTATTATAAACATCAAAAAGTTTCCAACTTATCAATATTTTCAGTTTTAAAAATAATCTCCTTAGTTTAAAAACTAATGATATCATCTTGTTCATACTATGGTTTATCAACTTTTATAAAAAATATCAGAATAAGTTAAATATGCATCCAGGTATGTCATCAAAAAATAAAAAGTTGATTTGTATGTGACTTATATGGTTGTTTTTGTTTATAATGTATTATACGTAATAGCTAATAGGTTTAGGTATTATGAGTTCTGTAAAATTACATTCATGTACCCATATTTTTTTAAGTTAAATTATTTGTATAGTTCCATAGTTAATTTACCTGTTTATATTGCATTTAAGTATTGTTACCTACAATCGTATTATTCATTTTTTGCAGGACTACCATAAAGTAATCAAAACACCAATGGATTTGGGTACTGTAAAAAAGCGTTTAGAAAATAATTACTATTGGTGTGCTGATGAATGTATACAAGATATTAATGCAATGTTTTCCAATTGTTATACATACAATAAACCTGGGGAAGATGTAGTTCTCATGGCTCAAACATTGGAAAAAATATTTCTTGCCAAGGTGAGGATAATCATTATTACTGTGTATATTTTAATAAATTAATAATTAATAAATGCATTTAATTTATTTTTATAGATGGGACAGATGGTAAAAGAAGAGACTGTTTTGCCCCAACATAAACCGGCTGTGAAAAATCATTCAATTATTCAGAAACCTCCCAGTCAGAACCAACCAATTGCTGTAGCTCCTGGTTCAACTGCTATGGGCACCACTCCTCATTCCCAACATAATTCTCTCCCACCTCAAGTATGTTAAATAAAAAGTATTCAGCTATCAATGTTAAATAATGTTTTGTTATGAAAACAATAAATATACTTAAAACATTGGTCCCACTTACAAATATTGTAGGTTAACTAACAAGTTTTATGTTATTTTGTGAATGATGTATAATTATTAACTTAAATATTTAGCAACCATTAGATTAATATAAAAAAAAAATAAATTACCAAACTATTCAACAAATATAAAACATAATTTTCTTTTAAATAATAAAAATATAACTTTTAATTCTCTATGAATTCACAGGTTTTTATTTAATTAAATAGTTAATGTGTGACTTATGGCTGTTATATGTTAAATAGTAATACCATTAAGTAGAATAACCAAGGTCTAATTTCTAGCACAATATTATAATTGAATATAATAATTTTATTATGTTATTTTATTTTTAATTTTAAGATTTTAGCTCCAACAACGAGTGATTATGTAGCACAACCAGTAAACATACCTTTAGGAGCAGCAAATTCACTAACTGGTGGAAAACTGAAAAAAGGAGTTAAAAGAAAAGCAGATCCTAGTCCCATCAATTCAATTGACTCCTCCACCATTTATCCTGGCCCAATGGCCACACCAACAACCCCTGTTCAACCTTTACAATCATCTATTCGTAGAGAATCTGGTCGACAAATAAAAAAACCGAGAGTGCCAGATGAAGGAATTCTATACTCTCAAAATACGACTTTACCTACTGGAGGATCCGGCTCAATACCAGTAATTTTTTTTCTTATTTAAAAGAAGTCCTAAGTATTATAATTAAAAATGTATTATAATTATCTTAGGACGGAAAAACCAAAGAAAAATTGACTGAGGCATTGAAGGGTTGTACTGAAGTGCTTAAAGAATTGTTTACCAAAAAACATGCGGTAATGCCATAGGCTTGTTACGAATGGGATTTTAAAGAATACCTGATTGATGTCTAATCTGGTTTTATAGGCATATGCATGGCCGTTCTACAAGCCTGTTGATGCTGCTTGGTTGGGCTTGCATGATTATCATGACATTATTAAGAAGCCTATGGACCTGGGAACAGTAAAGGTAATTAAACTTTGAAAAATTCAGGTAAATATTGACTTTACTATCGTATAATATTATAATATTTTTCATGATTGCAGACCAAGTTAGACAACAGAGAGTATAAAAATTCAAAAGATTTTGCAGCAGATGTTAATTTAATATTTTCCAATTGTTATAAGTACAATCCTAAAGATCACGATGTAGTAGCAATGGCAAAGAAATTACAAGCTGTATTTGAAGCCAAGTAAGTATCTTATAATCATTAAGATAGTTTTAAATACTTTTATAGTATAATTGTATCAAACAAAATTTGTTTTATTATTAAAGAATGTCAAAAGTTCCACCAGACCCACCTTTAATAGAAATGAAAATGGAACCTGAAGATGAAAGTAGTTCAGAAGGAAGTTCTGGTTCATTCAGTGATTCAGACGATTCTGAAGATCTAGAAAATTCAAGAAAAATTCAAGAATTCCAAGAAAAAGTAAGTTTGTTTAAATTTGTATAGTTCTTAATATATTTTTACACATCGATATAATGGATATTCAAATATTTATTACAATAATGATTGCTACTCTTGTTACTTGTAATTTCTTATCAAAGCAAACTCCTGTTAAACATTTTAGAACAGTTTTACTGTTTGAAGAAAAACATTTTGTACGGTTTAAACAATTATTTTGTACTATTTTTAATATATTTAGGGAGTAGCAAATCTATGCTGAATAACTTGAGCATGATAATCCTTAACTGGTTCAATTAAATTAATAATTATACTATTAAAGTTTTCATGTTTTATTTTACCTTGCTGAAGTTTATATTCTTATTTAAATTTAATTTCATACCAACAATTGTCACTTTTCATAACAATAATTTAAAAATGTGCTTTAATCATTTATAAGAATCCATCTATAAAAAAAAACACTTTATTTTTAGGGCATGTAGTTAAATTAAATGATCATTTATAATAATAATAAAAAGGGTTTTTAGAAGATATATTTGTACAATTGAAGGGTGGGCGGGAATAACGTGCTATGTAACATTTTTTCAATTTTCATGTTTTTGCGGAATAACGTGCTATGAAGCAATCTCCATATATTTTAAGAATCGAAAAATTCCCAGAATGTTTTTATCGTACACAATCATCGTGTATATACTTCGAAACCGTATAATAACCTGTATAATACAGTTTTCGTTTTTAGTTGTTCCTGAACATTTACGATTTGCTACTTAGCACGTTATTCCCGCCCACCCTTCAATTATAAAATTATAAATATCTACAGAACACAGATCTTGCCTACCCTCCGTTTTATTTTTTATTCTTGGCGTTCAAACTGATTTTAAGGATATTTCGATGCAATTATAGACCTCATTAATTTATTTCTATTGGCAATATTGAATATAAAATATTCAACATACAATTCATATTATTAGATCACAAGACAAATATATAGACCCTGACTATTATATGATTTTATAAAAATAGTAAAAACACTAGTTTCTTAATAATATAATATTGATAATATTCATGGTCTATAATTTACTATTAATCTTATATAATATTATGATGAAATATATTCATGTGCGTCATTTGATGTACCATTTATACTAAGTTCAACTAAGCATGTTCTATGTTAGTTGATCTGGTCGATGGCTACTTATTATGATAGAATATTTGTATTCTGAATAATTCCAAACTAATAATAATTTGATAATATTCATCGTCCATAATATACTATTTAACTTATATATTATGATGAAATATATTCATGTGCGTCATTTGATGTACCTTTTATACTAAGTTCAACTAAGCATGTTTTATGTTAGTTGATTTGGTCGATGGCTACTTATTATGATAGAATATTTGTACTCTGAATAATTCCAAACTAATAATAATTTGATAATATTCATGGTCCATAATATACTATTTAACTTATATATTATGATGAAATATATTCATGTGCGTCATTTGATATACCTTTTGTACTAAGTTCAACTAAGCATGTTTTATGTTAGTTGATTTGGTCGATGGCTACTTATTATGATAGAATATTTGTATTCTGAATAATTCCAAACTAATAATAATTTGATAATATTCATCGTCCATAATATACTATTTAACTTATATATTATGATGAAATATATTCATGTGCGTCATTTGATGTACCTTTTGTACTAAGTTCAACTAAGCATGTTTTATGTTAGTTGATCTGGTCGATGGCTACTTATTATGATAGAATATTAGTATTCTGAATAATTGCAAACCAATAATAAATGGTTTTTTATTTGTGATATGTAACTACTATAAAAAATTTGGTTTGATTTTGAAAAATATTCTAAATAATAAATATTTTTAGTTTAAGTTGTGGTGAATTTTAAAATTAAAAGATAATTTACTATGTTTTATTGTTCTAGAATAAAAATGTAATAGGTACTGCTTTTATGATGATATTCATATTCATGTGCGTCATTTGATTTACCATAGATATATTCAACTAAACATGTTTTATGTGAATTGAATATATTTTTGGCATCACTGAATGATATGAACTAAAAGACTGATTTTAACCAAATCTATTTTTTTTTTACTATTCTATTGCTTTAACTAAAGAATGATGATATTCATGTGCGTCATTTGATTTGCTATTGAGTAGTTCAATGCATGTTTTGTGTTAATTGAGGTTATTCATAGATATTTACTATGATATAAATGATAAATTCTGAAATATTGTCTCTAGGCATACAATTATTACTAATTATTAATAGACCATTAATAGTTTTAGTGTTAGAAAAGTAAATATTTGGTTCAGGAATTGCATTTATTTGTAACCCATTAAAATAATTAAATTTATTGGTCAGTCAATTGCTAATTGATATTCTGTCTCAATATTTAATTAGTTAAGATATACAAATATTTTATATATTGTACTTTAGGTAAAATATGATGAGCTATCTTTTTCATGTGCGTCATTTGATATACCATTTGTTATGTTAATTATGCATGTTTTATGTGTTTTTAACTAATTTTTGGTTACTTATAATGATAGAATATTTAGATCCTGAAATCGAAAAATATTCACTAATAATTCATAGATGAAAATTATGTTTTAAAAGTTAAACAATTTATTTTGTAATTAAATATTATTTTAGTTAATGGCTCTACAAGATCAAATGAAAAGGTTAGTTGAAGAAAGTGCTAGAAAGAAAAAACAAAAAAAGAATAGTATGAACAACTCAAAAAAGAAGAAACATTCTACCAATGATAAATTAACTTCATCTGCGTCAAAACCTCAATTAGCTGTAGCTCTCAATAGTACACCAATGAATATTATGGCTAACTCTACCATTACCAATGATATTAAAATGTTACCAATTGAGCCATCCATGAATGCTAAATCAGCAGCTCAGCAGTTGCGCCATCCTATGACAAATGCTTCAGCTGGTCTAACAACTAAAGGAACTAAAGGTAAAAGTGCTGGTACCAGAGGTCCTGCTAAAGCACCAGCACAACCAAAGCGTCCTAGAGTTAATTCTAAAGCAAATAATCCGAAAAAAAAGAACTCTGTTAGTGCCCCAGCATTTGATTCTGAAGATGAAGACAATGCTAAGCCTATGTCTTATGATGAAAAACGTCAGTTGAGCTTAGATATCAACAAGTTACCAGGTATTTATTAAATTAATAAAAGTACTTTTTTCTTGTAATATTTTATATAACATATGTTTCATAGGAGATAAACTTGGCCGAGTAGTACATATTATCCAGTCACGTGAACCGTCACTTAGAGACTCAAATCCAGATGAAATCGAGATTGATTTTGAGACCCTTAAACCATCAACATTACGGGAACTTGAGTCTTATGTGGCTTCATGTCTGAGGAAAAAACCACGTAAGATCACCAGTAAGTTTTGGTTTTGGCCTGGTTCTTCTTTTATCTTTACGTTTTCCTTTTTAATTTTTTTTTCTCGGGTTGTATTTATTTTTCACTTGCTAATCAGGGTACAGAATGTGATACAAGATTAATGTATTCTATAGTCTATATATACTAATTTAAGACTGGTAGCAAAATAAAGACTAACCTTATTTTGTATAGTCTATTGTTTTATCAGTATTTTACATTTACAGATAAAAAGTTTCTCTGGAAACCTAAAGAAGAACTTGGAGAGAAAAAACACGAGATTGACAAACGATTAGAAGTTAGCGGGCAACTTTCTACTACTAAAAAAGGCAAGAAAGGTAATTTAAATGCTCCACTTTGTATTTCATATTTATAAGTAACTTGTGTACATAATATAATCATTGGTCTTGATGAATCTTGACATGCAATCTAATTTAAAATCAGTGTTATATTAAAAAACAACCTAACCTACATAAAAATTGGATGAAAAGACTATTTTATAAACACATTTATTCATAATGGATCATTGATTTTATAATATATATTAGGCTTCTTCCACGATATTTCTATGTATCGATATTCCAATTTATTGATAACTCTAACTATTAAATAAATTGTTTTTAAATTATAATGTACAAAATCAATTGGTTTCCAAATACTCAGTGGCCAGGGGCCATTAATTAAAAATGAATTTTGGTTATCAATATATTTATAAATATTATGAAATCATCTTTTCTATTATATATATAAAAAAAAAAATATTAACTTAAACGATTGAAATTGTTGTGTTAATCTAGACTTTTTTTACACGATTCAGACTTTGGCTCATGACTTCACACGCATATTTTCCTGTATCTCATTGAATAATTGGACCCACACTATATTTCTTAGATAATTGCATACTTTAAATTTAAGCAAACTTGTTTTGAGTGTTTTGATATCTTGTAAGATTAACTAAATTTACTATATTAATATTGTTGAAGAAACCTAATATATTATATTATATAATTATTAGGCTTCTTCAACGACATTGATATTTCGATTCAATATCTCAAACTTTTTTCGGAAATTTAGCTATCGATAATCGTAATATATTGATAATCGAAATATATTGATAATCAAAATATATCGATAATTGATGTACAGCAATCTGAACTGATTTTAATGCCAAACAATTAATTGTTAACTAATACCTTTACTAGTTACTATACCTAGTCCATTGAGTATTGACAATTGAATTATGATAGTCATAGAGTTATCGGAATATCGATATATTTTGATACTTAAATTTTTTTTTCTATATCGCACAATTTAAAAATATATTATTGAAGAAGCCTAATATGTATACAACTTTTTCCTAATTTTACAGATGCTAAAGCTGCGGAAATTAGTGGTCCATCTCGATTATCTGCATCTAGTTCTAGTAGCTCAGATTCTGATTCAAGTTCATCGAGTTATTCAACATCATCTAGTGATTCAAGTGATTCAGAACATGGTGAGTTATTTTATTATAATTGAATAGTACTTAAAATTTAACTGTTGAAACATTTGCAACTAAGAAGTTCATCATTTTTCAATAATTATTTGAATCATAATGATAATCAAAGATTTGGTTATACAAATAGTGTCGCTATTCTCTTTTGCTTAAATTGACTTCAGTATTTGATAGCTTTATGTTGAGCACACTTTATTTTTGGTTTGTCTTTATTACAATTTGTATTATATGTCATTATTAGGTATCTGGTCTTAGTATTTGTTTTTTTTTGCAAATTATTTTGAATGATTATATGTTATAATATGTTCATAATTTATGTGTAGTGATATGCTAACACATCTATTATACCATTTAAGGTTTTCTTTGGGAAACCTATCAGTACTCAAAATATTACTTAAAAGTAATAATTGTCTTATAGACAAAGTGTGGTGTTAGTGTGTACTCTGTAGACAAGTTGTATCATATTATGTTACATTTTTAGGGAAAAATAAATAATTTAAGGAATGCTCGTTAAATTATTTAATGATTTAATTTGTTATTATTTTGTGACCCCATTAATTAAAACTATTAAAACATGGTGTGTCTAATAAATATATACTTTCCTAGAATGATGGCATAATGGAATTTGAAATTATTTATTCTTTGTGGTACATTCTGGTATTGTAATTTATCAGAAGTTTTTATGAAAATCAAAATTCTTAACTTTAATAATGGTAGATTGTTGTTTAAATAGGAATTATTTATACTTAATACATACTAATTTACTGGTACTTAATCATGCCTATTAGATTAAATATTAATCACACTTTTTTTTTTATATAATTTAATTAGATTATATAAATTTAAGCTGCTATAAAAAAAATGCTAATACAGTGGTTGCTACTTAATGTGGTGTATTTGAAAATAATAACATTAAACAGTCGTTAACATAGTAAGTTTTCATCTAAATATTTCAATATCACACAAATCTCTTAGATATGTGTGAACTGGTGAAGTAATATATTGTTTAATAATATAAGGTTTTATTTAAAGCCTTAATGTTTTTTGTAATGTATTTTTGGATAGGTTTTTTTACATAGATTATTACATAGATACTTTTATATCTTTCCAGTATTGTATATTTATAATGGCATAGCACATAATGTCACCAATGCAGTTTACTGTTTATGGCAAGCCATTGCAGCCTCATTACTAAAAGAACAATGGCTAATAAAGTAACAAAATATTTTGTTGTCATACAAATTTACATGTCAATTTTTACCACAGCATTATTTAGAATAAAAAACTGTTTTTAATTTTGAATTTCAAACCTGACTATAAATTTTACTCAGAGTTTGATAAAATATTTGTGAATTTCGGTTTGCTTTGAGTTGAAATAAAAATGTATTGGTCTAGTTCTGTTTGGGTCTGTTCATTTTAAGAATAACTCGGTTTGAGTTTGGTTTGACTTAAAAATCATGGTATAGTTTATATCATAATTTGCTATAGAACATATGAGTTCTACACTCCTCATATTATTATTATAATTTTGAAGTCCTAAAATTAATGCTAAGGGTAACTTTTTCATATTGTCATCAATTAAGTTGTCTATAATTATATGTTAAGTGTCCTTATCCATTTGACTGTGTTGTCTGTAGCTTCATAGAGTTTTCCATTGTCCCATTTGGGGTGCCAAGAGTACAGTCACTTATTATGTGGGAGATATAGAACCTGTTATAAAATATATGTTTTATGAATAAATTATATTAAAAATATTTACAGGATTTACTGTGAATTTTTTCTTAAGAGGATGTCAGCACACTATTTGTTTTCTCTCTGGCCCACATGCAACATAGACAAAACGTATTTGAGCAGAATTATTTTTTCTATGTTTTTTAGTAATCTTAGAGTAAAATCACTCATTACTAAAAAGATAGATGATAATATTTTTGAGAGAATGACATATTGATTTGTCTAAACATTGTCTCAAAACCATTTAAACATAATTTAAATTTACAATATTTTTTTGTTTATTTTGAAAGTCAAATAACAATTAAATATAAAATCGATATGTCATTCCTTCAAAAATATTATTTATTTATCTATAATTCTTGTAATGGGTGATTTTACTCTAAGATTACTTAAAAACATAGAAAAAATGATTCTGCGTTAATGCGTTTTGTCTATGTTGCTCATGAGCTAGAGAGAGAAAACAAATAGTGCGCTGACATCAACTTAAGTAAAATATATTTAATTATTTAAACCAGTATTTCTCAACCATTTATTAGCATAACCCTAACATTTTAAATTTAACTTTTGGCGACCCCAAAAGAATCATAATTGCAAACACAACTTTCATTTATTTTAATCAAATTGGTAATACTAAATATGTATATTTATCTATCCTCAAATACCTAAAATAAATATATATAAATACATACCTATACCAAAACTACGATAAGGACACATCACGATGCCTGGTATTTCTATAACCTACAATTATTTTCTTTCTTGATCATTTTATTATCAGATTTTTACGGGACACTTTTTTTTTTTTTAATTAAATGAAAATAGTATAATATGTAAGTAATGCTTTCGCGATCTACCACAAAAACCTCTGTGACCCGAGGTCGTGAATGCTGGTTAAACTCGTTTTGTCTAAAAATATATATACAATATATAATTTGTACACTTAATACCTCTTTATAATTTATACAAGACTAACCTATCATCATAGCAAAAATGGACTTATTATTTATAACAAAGTAGAACTTCTTTTTAAAGAAATTTTCTGTTTAACAAAATAGATCTTCATTGTTAAGCGAGCGCTTCACACACATGCATTGTATGTACCTGTCTTATAAATGCATAACATAGCAAATTGTATTAAGTTCTAAGTAATTTATTTAACACTGGTATGTTTAAAATAAGACCATATTGAACTATTATCATCTTTTTTTTTATTTTTATTTTAAAGCAAGTATTGAGTGTTGTAAAATGCACAAACAATTCACAATCTTGAAACACTCATAACATGAGCTTCAATAGATAATATTCTTACTTCTAAATTTGATAATAGGTCAATTGGCTCCAATAATAATCATAACAGAGTTAAATAGATTATTTAGAACATACAATTTGCCATGTTATGCGTTTGTAAGATAGACAGCGCATAAGGATGTACCATCTCCTTCATCATGCATAAATTGATCTCTGTACAATGAATCTGATGTTCCTTTATAACGAATAAACTATTCGATAACAAACCTGTTTTTGTAAATGTTTTCACTATCAAAAATTAATTATTGTTCTAAAATACCTATATTTAATTTTATCTGATAAAGATAAGACATTAGCTGGCAATCCGGTTAATTTTACTACAGTACTGCAGTTCAAATATTGACGTAAACATGATGTACTCTTAAATTTTCTGTCATTTTTCTATTCGTATAAAATAAATGTCTTAAATGTAAATGTTTATCAATTGTTGATACATTTTAAATTTCAAATTCATTTGATTAAGGTGTTATGAAAAATATATTTCCAAAAAATATGGTATCCAACAAATTCAAAATGAATTGGGAAATTTGATCCAAAATATATTTTTAATGCGGATGAGACGGGTTTATTCTTTAAATATTTTAGTTTACCAAACAAAATTCCAGCTTTTAAACATGAAAAATGTCTTGGTAAGCATAGTAAAGGGCAATGATATTTGATATTTATTTATATTTTAGTATAAATATAAAATATGTAATTATATTTAACAAATTACTCTATGTTATGATTTTTTTTTTCACGAGACCGTTATATGGAAGTTTCACTGTAGTACATAATGTGTTATAGGTGTATTACATAACTATTGCTCAGTCAATTTTATTATCAAATATAATACATGAATTAACTCATATGTTAATATTTAAAGTAGTGACTACTGTATTTTTATGTATTTTATGATTTAAATATTTATAAACAATAATACATCTTTCAAATTTTTAATTTAAAATGTATCTTATTGTTATTTTATTGAATTAAGTAGGTATATTTTTGAATATTTAATAACTAAGATAAAGGCATTTTGAAATGCTGCAACTATCAAACAACTAGCAATTTATTTTCAAGTTATTGCACCAATATTTTTGGAATAGAATATACAATTGTTTATTTTAAATATAACATAATTAAACATTTTTCTGGATTTGTAAAAATAGTTTAATTTTAATTTTTTTCTTAAATTTTCAAAATATAATTTTAAATTACTTAGTTGTATGTGTAGTTTTAATAATAAAAGCATTTTATTTCTCAAGTAAAACTGATATAAGTATGATACGAATAAGCACCATAATATGTTACTACTTTTCTTCACATTATTTCGGTTAAAGAAATGAAAATGTTAGAAATTAATGTTTATTTCATAATGTCCAATTATAGAATGTTAAATATAATTTATATTTTTTGATTATTCAATTCCTGTATTTATCAAGAAAGTCAATAGTACAATAATTTTTTTGACTTGTATTAAATTGTTGGCTTTGAAATACTACTCTAAATTAAGAATTATGAAATGATTCAGTAGCTTCTACTGTTTTTAACTATAATATAATTATTATGTTCATAATTTATAATTGTTTCATGCATTTTTAATATTATTACTATGTTGTGATAGTTTTTGTTTTCATCAGTGGTTATGAACTTACTTAATTTTCCTTTGTTTAGTATGTATATGGTTTTTTATGTTAGTGAATTTTATCATAATATCAATTTGGAAGATTTAATATCTAATACAGTATTTTGTTCACTCAACAGTGTTATAAACTTGATAACTTTGGCAATTTTAAACTGCTATTTAATTTGATTTATTTATTGTAATATTTAAGTATTTCATTTTTATTTAATATTTAAAACTGTTATAGTAAATTAAAACTTTAGGAGATATAGGGCCAGTTGTACCTTCTACGGTTAAACTACGATTAAGCTTAATAAGCTGATAACAGATATTTAACCGGTTAAACTCCGGTTAACTTTAATCAGAGACTGTACAACTGGCCCATAAGCTCCACAGAGTGTTCATAAGGATCTATTACTTTTCTGTCTCAATATTTTTGAAAAGGGAATTGGAGTATTTAAGTTAAATATATTTTTGATCCCAGGCAGGGTAATAATGTATTATGGTTTTTCTTTACCAAAAATTTTTTTTTTCTGGGCATTTAAACAGTTGTGTATGTAACTCTTTGGATATTAAGATTTGTCCTTAAAAATATTTTTTTTTTCGAAGAAATTGCAAATAAAACTATTAAGAAACTAAAACGGGGTGCCACTATTGGGTGACTTCCCCCTCCCTCTAAACAACCCACATCCCATTTACTTATTGTACTACATGTAAATATAGATAATACATTTTTGTTTAATAAAAAAAATAAAATACTAAACAAATTATCTTGTTTAGCTAGTAACTTAATTTATAGATTAAATTTAAATGTAACAATTTATTTATTCCATCCCTCACTCCTGTACCTCACTTTTTAAATCCTGCTTTTTTTTTTATCTAAATCTCTATGTAATTAAATATTTGTGATATAGCAATAATGAAAAAGTGTTGTCTTTAATATTTTTATTCTAGTAATTGTTGTTAATTATTTAAATTATCGTTCAATGCTCACATAAGTTGTCAAGTATTAATGACCATTAAGTAAATAATTGTTCTTTAATTTGTACTGAGTAGTGTATGTATGTGGTGTTTGGTGATTGTTCTGAAAATGAACTTTAGTGATTTGTTTTTAAAATTTTAAGTAGATTAAATTTTTCAAAATCAACAATTTTTGTTTGTCTCTTGTAGGTGATGCAATAACCGATAAAGGGTTGAAAAAACCAGAAGGCTAGATTTTTGGAGATCTATTTTAAATTAAAATATTTCAGGGATTAGGCTAGAGTGCAGAACATGTGAGCATTTGTTTTTAAGTTAATAACGGTGAATTTTTTTATCATATTATAAGTAACATGTCAGTTTTTTTAGTAGTTCCCCTTATTGATTGCAAACAATGCACATTCTCAATGGTTTGAATTTACTTAAGACAATTGTAATTTTTTTTATTGTTTGCACTCTTAGCCTTCGTCCCGAACTCATAAAGACAGTTAACTATCAACTTTTATATATTTTTCAAGACAATTATTTTGTAAGTTGAATTTAATGAATGCCCGTCCATATGTTATTCTTTTGTACTTTTTTTTAAAATTATTTTTTATTGTATTTATGATGCCATATTAGATTTATAATTTTAAGTAACACATTACTTAACTTTCTTACGCTTAACTGCCTAAATGTGTTCAAAATCAACAAAATTTTTACCTTTTTTATTTTGTATAAAAAAATTGACATGAAAAATCATTGTGTACATTTGTAAAATATTAATTTTGTATAATGGATAATATACAAATCAAACATAATAAAATGTATATATTTTTAATTTATTTGTTAATATATAATTTTTGCTCACATTTGCACTCTGGTTTATTATCTTATAATGATAAACAAATAATTGGGCAATAAATATACTTAAGTTTTAATTAGGGTATTAATATTTATTTATTGTTTTAAAATTTGACTGTTTTATCCAGTCTAATATTATTACAATCTTTATTACCTTATAATGGTTCATAGTATAAATAAATATATATTATGTATATATATATATGCATATGTAATATGTATATTATATGTTGTTACTTGTTTATTTTGATGTTTGTATGTCTTACAAAAGTTTTAATAAATAAAATATAAGTAGATGATAATTTGAGAAATTATTTTCTACAGTTTAACATATTGAACTTTAAAAACGGTTTACAAGTTAATACTAATAAAAACTGTTTTGAATAATTTTAATTATTACTCAGTTGAACATATTACAATGTCAAATAGTCAGTTATTAATAGTACAATATATTTTTTTATGAATATTGACAAATTAAAACTATATTTATTGATTACTTTTTTATACTCTACACAGTTTGATAGTTTTATAAAAACATTATTATAATAAAAGCAATGTTATATTTATTTAACTAATGGCTACATTTTTTTCACTATAAATATTACCCATAAATATTTCTGAACTTAATGATATCTGTATAAATATTTTTAATAACAGATGAATGTTATTTTCGTTCAAGTATATAATAGGTTAGGTATGTTATGGTAGTATTACTTGTAATTCAGATATGTATGTACAGAGTCACTAAATTATTATGTAACAACAGCTTGAATGGCATGTATATATGTATAACATATACATATATAAAATTATAAATATGTGTCTATATATAATCCTATATTAATATATAAATATAAAAGATTCTTAAACTTTAGTGAATTTAAATATTCTTTTAAAATGTAATTATCTATTATGGAATATAATTTGCTTGTTATATCAGTTAATCACATTATTCGTTAGTACTTGTTACTTTTATTTTATAACTTGCTACCTAAAGATTTTAAATTTAAATCTATATTACTTCATTCGTTATTTTAGTTTAACGAGTATGCTATCAATTAATTTTAGATAATTCAAATATCCAAGTTAAATAATTGATAAGGCACATTTAATTTAAAATAATTTAAATTTTGATAATTATAAGTTATTTATTTTTAGACATATAAAGGTCTTCCAAGTTTAGAATCTAATTTGTTGTCATTTGCATCTACATTTCTAATAACACATTTATAATAGATCATAATATTTGTAACAAAAAAAAAAAAAAATACCAAGTATTTTAATTTTTTAAGGTGGCAACAAGCAAAAAAAGAAGAAACGTTTGTCCGACGACGTGTCGATAAACGTGAGTATTATTCTTTTCTCTTTTGTTAGTGCAATTTATTTTGTTTCTTCAACCGTCGATTTTTGGTCTGTTATAGAAATCGGCTGAAGGCCAAAAATCGACAAATTCTATGAAACAAACAGGTCCAAACTCAACATCTGTCAATTCGATCAACAAACCAGTTGTTAACGCTCAACAGAGTCAGTATTTCAATTTTTATGGAATAGTTTATATTCTTTTTTAATTTTGAAATTATGGTTTCTTTTTGGATTTTGGTTGCACTATTTACCGAGTTTTCTTTTTTCTTTTGCATATACTTTTAGATGTTTATGTTTAACATTGCACGTGTTCATGTCGCACTTGGTTATGACTTCAGTTTTTATTTATTTTGTATTAACATTTCATCTTCAAATAAATTTTGGCAAATTTATTTTTATTTTATCATTGTATAAATTTGCAAGATATATTATATTTTGCTCCTACCTAATATTATAATCATACTTAATAGTATGTATACACTCTAGTATCTAATGTAGATACTTTGTCTTTGCTAAATATACTTGTTAACAGTTCTAATTTGCACGATCTATCTAGATATTTAATTATATAATATACATATATTTTTTACTACTTATCAAATTATTTAAATATTTTCAGTTTTTGGTTTTAAATTTTGTTTGCATGTTTTTATATTTAGTAGTTTATTATAATATTAAGTTATAATTTTTGTAAAAACTAAATCATAAAACAAAATATAATCATTTTTATACTGTCTTGTATTACAAATAAAATTAATTAATTAATAATCTAATAATTTTAATTATTTTGATTATAATCTCATAAATCTAATACATTTTATTTTGTTTTGTTTTTATCAAGGTGTTTAGTTAAAAGTTTTATTTGAATTTTTGTACTTAATTAATCAATAGCTAATTAATATTGAATGATATATTGTGGAAATGTATAATAATACACTATGCTTTATATCTCGCATGAATTATTTTTGATATTAAATGTTGCTTTTCACATTAAGATCCTAATTTATACTATACTAGTCTTAAGCTTTAATACTCTTAACCATTGTCTCATACTATTAAACAGATATTTAAGTGCCATAAATTGATAATCATATACAATGTTTAGATGTTCCACCAAAAAAACCACCAGTAGTAACAAATCCGATGGCTATAAATACTTCCAAAACAAATACAATGGCTATTAATACTTCAAAGGCTAACACTACAATTCACTCGAAACCAACAGCAGTTGTATCTACAGCACCAAATCTTCCTACAACAAATGGAAATATATCTAGTAATTAATATTATAATATTTGTTTTGTTATTTATTCAAATTTTGATCCTTATTGATTTTTGGATATATTTAATTATTTAAGTCAAATAATATTAATAACTGAATTATTTTAGATGGGGATTCAAATACTTCATCAATGACTCAAGATATAACACCTAATGGTGTTCTATTACAACCAACTAAGGTCGAAGTTAAAACTGAGCCTGGACTTCCAGTTAGCAGTACCTCACAGCCCATAGTATCTCTAGGGACGATGCCTAATGAGAATACAGTACTCTCATCAATTGCATCAGTGTTTGATCCTCTTACACCTCCTAGCAGTCAGCCTACCAATAATAATAATTCATTACGTGTTCCTGACAAACAGGCTGCACATATAGTTGTGCCCACATCCAACATGCACAACTCTCTTGTTAATGACGGTAATTTTAATTTGTATAATTTTTGTCTTTACGTATGGCATGATAAATCAATTTAATCATTCAATTTTTGTAAAATATATGATGCAATATCTTATATTTCATGGATTTTTACACATAGATAATCTTATTTATATTTTTTTCTGACCATAGTAACATTTAATAATTAAAAAAATGTTCTTAGAGGTTAATTTTTCCTAAATGTATGTCTCGTTATAGGACTTTCAGTTCAGCATGTCGATATAGCACCAGTCATGAATTCTGTAGCTGCTGTTCATCATTCAGCTACACCACCATTAATGGTTCAACCCCCAATAGATAATAAACCTCGCCCATCACCAATTACTCCAGTTATTCAAAATACAAATCAGGTAATTTTTGAAAATATGCTATTTAAACAAAATTAATATCCACTTATGCACTTGGTTTATACATTTACATTTTAAATTAATTACAAAAAAATAAATATTAATTTGCTAAATATAAAATATAGAAATCAATGTATTTTAAAGACATAATTAATATGTTTTTATTAATTCACTTATACCTAAATAATCAATTTAAATTTTGAATTGAAAACATTAATGTTTTTGGTTTTAAAAACTAAATATTGTTTATATATTTTATAAGTATAAGAATTTATGTTACTATACAGTCTAATTGTCTTTTTTTTATATATATATTTGGAATATGGCATGTATGTGTTTAGGATATTTTGGTTTACTGTTCTAAAAAAAAATATTTTACTATACCACAGTATGTAACAATACATTTATATTAATAATAAATCAACTTATCAACTTAACATAATTTATTTTTGCACTATTTTAAATAACATTAACATGAAGGTGATAGTTAAATAGTAAAGTTTATGATTAATTAGTGACAGTAAAATGGCAGAAATATCCTGATTACATAACATATGAATAACACATTATTAACCTTAACACTATTTTGGGGTTCAGGTATTTCCACAGTTCAATTTAGATTCCTCCCCTCAGGTTCCAGCGTCATTTATGGGACCATTACGTCACCACCACCACCACCATCTACATTCTTTCCCTGTCCCATGGGATCCTAATATTGGGCCTTCTTATGACACAGCAGATGTAATTATCACATTTTTTGCTTGCTGAAATATTTTTGAGTACTTTACTGTATGGCGAAAATGTAGTGATTGAAATAGTTTTGTTATGTAATAAAGTAGACATGAATACATAATGCATTTTCCATTAATGATATTAGATATTTATGCATTTTGTATATTAGCTTTTGCTTTTTTATGCTTTAAATTTCATTTATGAAAGATTTATTATTTTACTAATCGAACCTTAAATAACTTTTTTTGTTATTTTTATTATGCATGTATAAAGATTTACACAAGCATGCACAAGATTTTATTATTTAAAAGGTCATTATTACTAATAAATAATATATTAACTCGTAGAATAACAACTGTTATTAATTTTAGTTAAGTTGGTATATTATTGTATGTATGCTTATTGCTTACTTAGTCTTTTGAATTTTAAATATTAAACTAGTTAATTTATAAAACTGATATTTTTGAGATATCTAATTTTTATTATCTCAGTAAATATATTATACATTTTTTATTCCATTTAATTAACTAAATAATAACATTACATATTTTGTATTTGAAAACTATATACTATATATATCAATTTAAATATTTTGATTGTATCCCAAATAGGCTAACACAAAAAAACATATTGGAACATTTCGTAATAATCTTAAGTTGAGCTTCTTAAAAGATTATACGAGTTTAAAATTATATTTCTACCAGAGCAATAGTCTTTTGAGTGGCTTGGCGTGGCGCGTTGGCTGCTACCAGTCGCAGAATTGTGACTGGGAGTAAGTAATGCCCACCTGGGTTTATAGTAGTTAAAAACCTTGCCACACTTACACATGTTTGCTACCTACCGTAACAACCGTAAAATAATCTTAAAAAAACAACCAACCTTACCCCTACCACAGTTCATAACCACTACAAAAGCTAATAGCCTTGGTCGCATGGCTTAAGTTCAATAAAAAAAAAAAATCAAAATAATTTTTTGAATGATATTAAATGTATTGATTAATTGATATTTAGACAACTGTATTAGATATTTACTAGCTAGTATGAAATGCCCCTACTTTTGTCTTTATTTATTTATATTATGCTATTTAGTATTTACTTACACAAAAGTCAATGGTTTTTTTTTTTTTTTTTAAATAGCTATCTGATCAAAGAGTTGTAAATGCTGCTACTAATGTTTGGAGTTCATTAGCCCAACAAGCTTCAGACGCTAATAATCAAGTACCTGGAGCTTCAATAAAACCATCTACAGCCGATTCTTTTCAGCAGTTTAAAAAACAAGCAAAAGAAAATGCTAAAAAGGTATTAGGAGTAAAAATTGAAAAAAAAAATTAATAAAATATCATTTACATATATTATTATTCATTATTAATTATAATTTTCTAGCAACGTGCATTGATTGAACAACAAGAAATGAGGCGTCATCAAAAAGAACAAGCAGAAAAAGAACGCATTCGTATTGAAAATGAAAAAAGAAGAGAAAAGGAAGAAGAAGAAGCTCTTGAAAAAGCTAGGTAAATTTTATTATTTATTTTGTATTTAAAAATGTATTAAAATTTTTTATTGTTTTGCTTAGAAAAATTGTTGCGGAGCAACAATCATCCCGCCTAGATGAAGTGAAAGCTTCTAGCAATACAGATGATAGCTCAAGTCCGAGTCAAGACCGTGCTGCTGAGGGACGTGAAAGGCAGAGATTACGGGAACAAGAGAGAAGACGTCGAGAAGCTGTAAGTTTTTTTTATTTACATTGGGTCTGGATACTTAGTTTTATTAAATTTTTGGGATTTTAGATTTATTAAATGAAATTTATTTGGTATTGATTGCATTTATTAATATATACTTTTATATAATTTAAAGAATTTCTGGAGCCAGTCATTTTGAAATTAAAATAACATTGTTTCATTCGATATCCCAAAAATTGTTTTAGATTAACTTTTTAAACAGAAATATATTATATGAATGCATACCAATATAAAATTCCCAGTAAAAAAAAAAAACTATTGTTTCTAACAAATAAGTTCTAAAATCATTATGCCCTTGGCTATGGCTCAGATTTTAATGCCCTAAAAATATCAAAAGAATGACCTTTCATAATGCATTTATGTACTAAAAACTCTAAAAATAGATGAATATTTATTTCTTTACTTGTATGATAAAATTTAATTTATAAAATATTGTTGACAAAGAAGAATTTTCTTATAATTGGAATTCAATTACATTTTTGAATTTAATATATAAATTACATTTCCTAATTTAAATACTTGGTATCAGTGGCGTACATACGGGGGGGGTTTTCGGGTTCAAACCCCCCCCCCAGGACCAAAAAAAAAAATAAAAAAATAATGTGATATTATTGATGAATTTCTTATTATTAATCAACCGTGTATACACAAATATACGTCATTATAATATGACTATTGAGCAAACAGTAAACATTATACTTAACCAACAACGAAAAAAGATTTCATAACGAAATTATGGGTGCCGTATAATATGGTATATCAATCAAAATAGACATTATTTTGATCGTACACAGTCAGTTAGTTGCGTGCGGATATTAATACATATTCATATTGTCTTTATCTCGACCGACTCATTATAAACACACAAGACTTTGAGTTTTTTTTTTTTTAACTCAGTTAAGTTAATATGCATACACATATAGATATAGTATATATTGTATTTTTAAGTACAGAAGTTACCTATCACATAAGTAATAAGTAATAAATAATAATAAATAAGTATTATATATTTTAGTTGTCTTTCAAACAGATATTATTTGTGTACATCATAATACGATGAGTATTGAGTAGGTATTTTTAATTTTAATGTTTAACTATCAACGTGAATACTGTTAATAATAATTTTTAATAATAATTAATAATCTCACAAAACCGTAAACCATAAAATCAATAGGTAATTGATTTATTTTTTTTTGTTTATTTTTAGATTTTAGTGTCGGCAAACTATATCATAATATTATGTCTATATTATTGAAATTTTGACAAGGCAACAAAATAGACTCAAATAATGAAATGTAAAAAAATGAAAAACAAAATAAATTAACTTACAAATAAAAAAATTAATTCGTTAATTTAACGTTGATTAAAAAATAAATTTAGTAAATTAGTAGTTAAGTTAAAAATTATTATTATCACAGCATAATCATTATCATTCGATTTCGATATATTTTAGGTTTTGAAGGTAAAATAAATAGTAATCATGGCTGAAAAAAATCAATCGAAACTGCAATCTTTTTTTTCGAAACCACCCTCAATAATGAATTCATTGTCAAATTCATTAAATGCAACTCAAACAGTTATAAGTTCCTCTAGTTCCTCATTACCATCAACTGCATCTGCATCTGATACACCTATCACTCAGTTTACACCTTCGACTACAGATATTAATCGTACATCTTCCAGTTATAATATTTTTGACATTGCACATTACACAAATAAATTGTTAACGCAAAGTGAAATAGAAGAAATTTTGAGCAAAATTTGGGTCCCTGATATTAATTACAATTTTCTTATCAAAATATCAGTAGTCGGTAAACAACAAAAAGTTTTGAGGTTGAAATTTCAATAGAAATGGCTAATTAACTTTCCCTGGTTGGCCTATTCAGAAGTAAACAATGGTGCGTATTGCAAATATTGTGTTGCTTTTACTAAAAATGAAGCCGGTGTTAATAACCAAAAATTGGGAGCATTTGTATTAAAAAAATATGATGATTGGAAACATGCATTGGAAGACTTTAAAAATCATTCGAATTTAGAATATAACAATCAATAGAATTTTTATTATAAATAATTAATAATATAATATTTATAATATTCTGTACTTACTATGTGCATATTAAATAATATTTAACTGCCATGAGTTACGTAAACCTTTGTATTTGTTTTACTATTTTGCCTATTAATATTTATACGTGTAATGTGTTTGATTGTTAGGAAAATGGGTAGTTGCAAAGAGAAAGTTTTAGTGCTGGTTATTTTTTTTAAACCTCCCCCAGAGCAAATTTGAATGTACGCCACTGCTTGGTATACTTATTAATTTAATAAAAAGATAAAATATAATAGTTATAATATAATAGTTTATATGTGTTTGTGTTAATAAAGTTAAGTAAAATTGCATTTTTCTAATTTAGATGGTGAACCAGATTGACATGAATCGCCAGAGTGATCTGATGGCAGCATTCGAACAAACATTGGCACCTTAATTACTGCGATGACTAATGACTTATTATACCGAGATAAATTATCTTCAGATCTTCTATATGTCTGTTCATCCTATGTATTTAGAGTATGTATTTAGAGTATGTATATTCTGTGTAAATAAGAGTAAATGTGTGCCTTCCATGTAAATAATTCATTTTATGAATGAATTTCACATTTGGAATAATGTTATAGTTTTTTTTTGTTAAGACAGACATTTTATTATTTTACTTATATCAACATTCGTTTTCTAGACTTGACAAATTGGTAGTTTTTTTTTCTATATTTAAACCAAAATGTAGTAAAGAAAATTGGACTTGACACATATTATTTATTTGTTTTGTGTAAACTATATTTAACAAACAACTTGTTCGAAGCGCTCAAAATATGTCTTATTAGTGTTGAGATTCATATTTAAGATAAAAAAGTTTAGGGATAAAATTTTTGCATATTTTATTATTATTATTTTTGTTTTGATACAAGTATTTTGAATGCAGTGCCTGTTGGCAGATAATTTTGCTACCTAAATACCATATTTATATTTTTTCGTTCATGTATATAAAATTACATTTAAAGTACCTAATCAAATTGTACATAAATCAACAACAATTTTGTACAAAACCTTGTATAATACTAAAAATAGTTGTATGTTAAAAAGAATAATAAAAAGTAATAATAATAATAAAAATAAAATATTACAATTTGAAAAATATTTTATTATCCACTAATTTTTATTATTTCATTCATTTTCTTTCTCCCTTTAGCAATTTAGAGTTCAGTATTATCTTTAGTTTAGTTCACTAAATATAACTTTTGCATAATTTATAGTAAAAAAAAATTTTATATTTGTATTATATATGTAAACATATAATATATAAACTTATAAAAAATAATTTAGTTTTAATATATAATTATGCAAAGTTTTGTGTGTTAAGATTGTTAAACATAGTTAAAATAACAGAATAATCTATAACCCAGGTTGTTTTTATCTTTTTTTTTTATTATTGTAATTGTTTATTTATTATTTTCAAGAAATATCAAGTGGTCTAAGTGGACTTTTGTTAGTGTATACAAAATGTCCAATTTTTATTTTTATTTTTTAGTATTTTATTAATAACTTGAAACTTAATTATAATTTGTTATGATATATGAGAATAATTATATAATACAGGTGTTTTACATTCTGCATATTTGTGTGGTTGATATTTTCCACATTTTTAGTGTCACTTTATTTAGCATTAAACATGCCACTGAGCAGGTATCATTTTTTTTATTATTTTATAAATTTTTTGGAAATCATATTTGGTGTTGTAATGTATTTGGATACATTTACATTATAAGTCACACCTGATTTACATACAAATGAAGATGTAAACAATTATTAAGACACTGTAATATACTAAATTTGTAAAAAAACAACATATATTTTGGTTTACTAATATTTTAATGTAATAATTACATTTAACTATTTATTTATATAGTGGTTAAAGAGACTGATGTGTTTTATAAAATATGAATTGATATTTATATAATATATATATCTAACATTACTTAAAAAAAAAAATAGAAGGATTTATGGCCTAACTATTCAAAGGATACAACATTAGCAATCATGTATTTACATTGCATACTTATAACATATTAAAATTAATTTCTGTATTTCAATTAAAGTGAGTCTTGTAGTGTTATTATACTTTTTATATAGACTTTTCATAAAATAATAAAAAAAAAATTATTATTTACAATTACATTAGAAATTTTATTTTAAGGTAAGTTATAAGCGAGTCTATAATTTTTAATTTATTTAAAAATGGATGGTTGAATGTGGACTGTAGTATTAAATTAATTTTCTTTCAAATTATATAATGAGTTTATAAAACCTAATTTATCAAATGTAATATTAAATAATAATATAATGAATCAAGATTTTTTAAAGACAAGTAAGTAAATCTTCTATAAATCAATCTAATACTGAAATAATGAAGACTTTTGTACAGAATTGTTACACGACAACTATTGTCTTGGTAGTTCTATAACAACTAAAATATGTATGCTGTAAATGTTGAAATATTGTGGCTTTAAATAGAAGTTTTTATATTTCTGATAAGGTGGATAAGTTACAGATAAATACCTAATGGTGGTATTCGAAAGGATTTTGATGTCAAATTTGACATGATTTGCTGGTTAGTTATACCAGGTAAAAAATGTTTTCTCTGTATATTATGTTAAATTATTTATGCGATGGAACAAGACTCTTTCGGCAGATGTATTTGGTGCAGGCAGTATGATTATTATTAAATGTTATGAATTTAGTGAAATAATCTAAAGTAGTTGGCCATTTGATGTGGTGAGACTTGATGATAAGTCCTGAACAAATGACACAATATGTCTCTTGGCATGTTTATACAATATAATGTACTTGATAATAAAAGATAAATACTCAATTACTGGAATTGTGGTTCACACTATTCAATTGATATTGTACTGTTTGTATACTTTCACAGTTGTAATAATAAATGTATTCCGCGTTGTTCTACATTAAGGAAAAAAGAATCTATAGATTCTTTTTTTTCGTTGTAAAAACTTAAAATACCATAATAATATTAAAAGTTAACGTCACAAGGCGTTTAGAATGGAACTATGACAGCGGGGTACCTGTATTGCCTATTCATATCGCCGTGTAAGTCGAAGGGTGTACCGTAATATTTTCGGTCGGATAAAATATCCATCTTTTATTTCACCTAAAATCACTTGCACAGATACTACTATCTCTGCTTCATTATTATTATTCATGGAATATAAATCCCGTTTTTGATGAAATGATTTTACTAACAAAACTAGAATTTTGTTTATTATGGACTGTACTGGCTGCATACGAATTGTGTCCCGCGGCAACAATTCCTCCCGAATTGGGTCCTGGTTATTTGTTGTGTACATACGAGTTGCGTCCTGGAAATGATAAAAATGAAACAATACTTCCTATTCCAGTTTTACTTAGACTTAGGGCTGTCTGCAGAAATATTACTACCACAGAAATATTATTTTGGGTGTTATATTATTATTATGCACGCGTTTTGTAATTTTGTATTTTTGTAATAGTTATAAATAAAAAAAAAATAATATGGTATTGGTTACAACTACTTAAAATATCGGTAATTATTTTATGAGTTAGAATCTGCTAGGTACCTAAATTTGTTTTGAATGAAACTGTCATATTGGCTGTTTAAAAATGTTTCTTTATTCAATTGCATGAGTTTTACGGTTGTTTATGAGTGTTCAGTGGCGGATCCAGGGCTTAATTTTGGGAGTGGCAGAGGGGGAGTTGGTCAAAAGTACAAAAAGTTCCAAAATTGGCTAAAAACAGTATAACACTAAGGAAAACTACGATGGTCAAGGGGAGCAAATGCCCCCTTTGCCCTCCCCTGGATCCTCCACTGTGAGTGTTTCGTTGTTTAATATAATTAATAAAAGTTTGTAACCATCAGGTGGTTGACACGCAATTCGGGGGTGTTCAAGAAAAACTGGGACGGAATTAGTAGGTAGGTACCTATTATGCTTACCTTTTTATTTAAGACTCAACTAGTACGCTGCAATTTTACTTTATTTTAAGAGGACGCTACACTCGCATTTTGTTGTCTCCGTCACACACTCACACAAGTATATAACATAACAAATTTACGCTCAGCAATTCACATTTAGCTTCGTTAGATTAAAAATTAGATTGAATCTTTTATGAAACTTAATGGTAAGAACATTATCTGTGTTTGTATACCTACTGGGTTTATACGATAGTTCAGTTTTTAAGTGAGTTTTGAGCATTTGTAATTTGTTCTATACTATATATTTAAATAAGTACACTAAATACGCAAAGTTTGTTAAAAAATTGACGGGATTTTATTCACTATATCAACTCGATTTCTCATTTAGGTAAAGATTTTCTTATTTTGTTGTAATTCAAAAACTAATAACTGTATACCTTGTTCCAAAATAAATGACACCAGATTTACGTAGCAGCACTGGTTTTGCCCGTAGTCGCCTGGTGTTTTGTCTTTTGGAACAGGGTACTTGAAATGTACACCATGTCACCATATATATTATGTTTGTTTTATCAATTCTTATACAATATGCATAATAAAATTAAAAAAATATTTTCACTCGTCTTGACTCTTGAGCTGTTTAAGGAAATTTCTATTATAATGAAATACTATGTACCTACCTACCTATTATCCTTTGACCAACGGTTTAGCCGTAACTTAATAATATATTATATTTTTATTAAATAAAACAACATTATTATTAAAGAAACTTTTTCTTATATACATATTATAGAAATGTACAAAATAAATATAAAGGTTTCAATATTATACTTATATAATATAATATATCAAATTACACGTTCTATAATAAATTACATTATCTAATACAAAAAACATAGTCCGCGTGGTGTGGTCTCATGCTTTACGTTTATTGACGTTCAACCATATACCGCCTTTCGGACATGACAGGAACGACGCTGGTTCAAACTCGATGCGTGCACAGGATTTGTCGCTCAGCGTCACTAAGTAACTGTGAAGGAACTGGGCCAATGCCAGTTTCATTTCCAACATGGCAAAACGCATACCTGTCGAAAAAAAAATAGATAAAACTTACCGGCATTCTAATTTCGGGGTTCAGTGCATTTGGGCCGGCAGTTGAGCTTATACAAGTTTTCTTATAAATATAATATAATATGTATTTATTTATTATAATCGATAATCTTCTGACATATGTATCTACAGACTACAACCTACCCGAGACTTAGGAATCTATTAATATTCTATTTCTTAGGTATAGTTTGTAGTTTGTACAGTGTACTACAGGGTACCTACTGTTTAATATGGTCTTTATATTTTATCTATAAGGGGACATGGTAGCTTAATATAGGTAATTAATAGAAAAATAATAATAACAATAATAAATTATAGCATGATTGTAATTTGTAGGTATACCTATGTTTTGATTCTGAATGAAAATATGAATTTTAAAACCTATTAGTTTTACAGTAACGTGTTTTATTGTTATTTTAAATAGGTAGTAAAATATTTGTGTCTGCACCAATCTTCAATTGTTTGAGGGTGTTATTTTGGTGGAAAATTGCAATTAGTTTAGGGGGTCAAAAGTGTCCCTAGACCCTAGTGGCCTAGTATTGTAGTAATATCAAAAAATCAGGAAAAGCTAAACAAATTACGGATAATAACCAGTTTTCTACAAAATAATTGAGTTATTTAACTATTTTGTAATTTAAAAACGAATAATCTATAGGTATTTTCAATGAATATTTTGATTAGCATTTTCTTGAAATGACTAATTTTCAAAATATTTTATTGGCTCTATTTTTAAGATTTCTATCGATATTTTTAGTTTCTTTTTCTGTTTGTCTTGATAGATTGTTATAATCACGAACATTTTTAGATTTATTATCTCGGACTGGAAAATTGAATATCTACAAGATTCCTCATAAGTATCTATGAGGAAAATTGAATACCTACAAGATTCCTAATAAGGTTTTTCTTTTAATCAACTCAGGGAAGCGTTAATAGGGAGATACTATTGATTTAACAAATTAGTAAAATTGACTAATGTATAAACAAAAAAATTGGCTAATTTGAAAAACGTACCTATGCATATGCGCGGGCCATCGCCGAACGGCAGAAAAACTCCGGCGGGTCTCCCGTTATCGGCACCGCCGCCGTCGCCGTCTTTGGCGAACCGGTCCGGGTCGAACGTGTCGGGTTCCGGGTAGTACTGCGGGTCGTGGTGTATCGCGTAGACTGGTATCAAAACGGCCGTGCCCACGTCCAGGTCCAAGTCTGTGCCGGGCACCCTGAACTGTTTGGTGCACACCCTGGCCAAGGCCTGTACCGGTGGATATTTCCTCATCGTTTCTGCAGTGGGTGGTAGGGTACAGTGGGCGCATGTCGTGTTGCGTCGAAGGCGTAGGTAAATGAGTATGAGCGAGGCATTATCGATACGATGTTTGTGCCGGAGCGACCGAAAAACCAACAAAAACACTCGAAAAATTACACAAACATCGAAAATTTATATTGTGTTTGCAATACAATTATTATTGTTGTCGCATTACATATAGGTACCTATTGTGCGCAATAGGATCATAGTATATGCATATGGTTTTTCATTTTTTGTTGAGCGTACAGAGTCAGACTTATTACTCAAATCTAGAGAATACGTTCTGGCAGTGGATTTAATTTCGGGGGGAGGGATGTACCTCCAAACACCCTTTAAATAATCCAGTGCATCCGGGTTACCAAAATGTAAAAATCTGAACAACTAGAAGTCTAGAACTCATGTAGAATGGTCAATACTTTAACCAAGTAATTTATGTAATCGTAATATAGAATCCATAAGTTTTAAATTATAATGAAACTCATATCATTCGTTAAGAAAAATATAATTCAATGGTTTGTTTAGTTAATTCATGGTGGAGTTTTTATGAATAGGTACGTTATTCCCAATTTGATTATGTTTTATGTAATCATAATATAATGTCTTCTATTATAATTTTTTTTTACATAACTATCACACACCGCAGGTATTAGTGCATTAATACTAAACAGTGACACCTTCAAATAGAGGACGTTTTTTTTGGGAACAAATTACAAACTTTTTACAATATGAACCCTCTGAATAGCGGACAACATTTTAGAGACCAAGAGTCTTCGGTATTTAGAGATTTCACTGTAATACTACCTAGTACCTATATAATATTCTGTCTCATATAAAAAGTAACCTCAGACGGCGACCGATTTTCGGCCGGTTCGGTGGGACCACAACTCTCGATTAAATAATAATTAATAAGTTTTCGTCGTCAGTTTTGGTTTCTGCCGATTGTCTCTGGCCTCAAAATTACTTAAACTCGTTAGTCTTAAAAAAATGCAAGCCAAGTGGCTGTTTAAATAATAAAAATGAAGATCTCAGCGTATTCGGCTCGGCGAGCGTTAATCACGCCCATTTCCACTGCCTGCTGCTATGCGCAGAAAGCCCATTGCGGCATTGCCCCAACTCCTGAGATAGAGACACAGAGTTAAAGTGTCAAAATAGGTATTTAAATAATACCTATCAAACGATTCACGTATGCATACAATAATAGTGGCCCAAAAGACCTCAGCGACATTTTTCTTCGGGCAAGTCACGATGTCCGAAGAACAAGTGCCGCCATCCCCCACCCGGGCATGGCAGATACCCATAGGCGTGCGCAGACTTTTTTCGCAGGATATACCGGTATTTTTAAACGTACCCAGCTCAATACAAAAAATAACTCCCCAAAAACTCTTAATAGGTAGGTACAAATAACTTACGATATGATGCGAAAAGAAATTAACATGCATTTTATTTAGCTTATTTATTGGTTTTAGATATTTTAATTTGAAAAGCTTGTTTTTTTTTCATTCCAATAAACTAACAGTATAAAAACCTACAGATATTTGATCATATTATAATAATGACAAAAAAATGATAATCTAATTAATCAAAATACTTTTATTTTTGATAGTTGTGGGTAGTATGAAAATAAGCAATACCTCAAGGGCCTGAATGTTCTGGTGATAAAACCCACAATTCTCACGAAAATGGTAAATTTTGATTTCAACAGTTGAAATAGTTAATATAGTTACTATATTAATATGAGTTAGCAATCTATTTTATTATTTATACAGGTACCTGTGGTGATTATGAAATCTATTATGTATTTGATTTCGTCTCAACTCCCAATATTTTATTATAAGAAAATTATATAAAAAATAATCAAAACATTTAAATTCTTGAACTAAGATACTATATGGTTATGATAACTCTGCAGGGGATGCCATGACATACCCGGCATCCCCCCTGCTCACGCCTATGCAGATACCTACTGGTGTCCAATCAAAAATTCTGCCAAACCCAACACACACGTGCTCCTCCCCCTACCGACATAAGAACCTACAAAACCATACAGCTAATGGCCTTTAGTCGCCGGGCTTCTGATCAACTAAAAAAAAAAAAAAATAATAATAATAATATACGCTTATTCAAATTTGCTTATTGTTCCTATACGAACAGATTGTAAACATTTTGTAGATGAAAATAAAATAAAAAATATGACGTGCACACATATAAGCCGTCTGGGTCTTCCCGATTGGCAATCGTCCTATACTTATTATAGTTATTACCTACTTGCAACTTACTAGTATTGCAGTACATATTATTTGCATATTACAACTTAGGTAAGCACCGCGCGCGAGGATTGCGATAAACGATGACGGCCGAGCGCAATGTGAATACTTGCCTTTCAGACATTGTTCTAAGTAGTTCATCGACGAGATTGCTTCATAAGAGAACGGCAATCCGTACATATTGGCTGTTTCGTTGATTTCGTCGTACACCCTGTTTTGAATGTCCTGGTTGACGGCCATCTCGTGCAAGCAAAAACTCAGCGTCGTGGACGACGTCTCGAAGCCGGCCAGGAAGAACACGAACACCTTTGAAATCCAAGTTTATGCAAGTATATATGTTGTTCAATATCACAGGCCGAGATTTAGTTGCATTTTAAGAAAGACTTAATAATTGTTTAAATTAAACTTTGCATTTAGATAATTGGTAATAAAATTCGCATAATCTCCTCTTCCCCATATTAATATTTTAAATATTATGTAAATCTAAATCTTGCGAATATTATACTTATTGTGCAATAAGCAATAAAACATAAATGTAAGTTGATGGTAATTAACCTACAATAGGCCCAACTAGACAATTTGGGCAAGCATATACCTATTAAATACCAACAATTAGTATAATAAATAATATTTTTGGGATAATAACATAAGGAGGTATATATTTTTAAAAAAAGTACTAAACTAAAATGTTTTGAACTGATATTATAACAACTATAACAGTGGCATGTATACGAATTATTTTCAGTATGGGTCAATTTATCAGTTATCACTAGTCAAGCATAGCACGATTAACATAGCCATAACTATACATTTTTTAGGGAGCTGGGTGGTTATAATTATGACATATCCAGTACAAATAAAAATTGCGCAATTTAATTTTATAATTATTATATTAAATTAATTTTTTGATTCTTTTTAAAAAGTGTTTCCTAAATGTGGGCATTCATCTGTATTACATAATATAATGTAGAGGTATATTATGTATTTACTTGAGCGGCGATCAACTCTTCGGTCAGTTCAATGGAATTAATCGCTTTTTCTTGGTTGTGATTTTGGTTTTTAATCTCAAGCAACAGCTGTATGAAGTCGTTCCGACGCACTTGGTTGGTGTTCCGGAAGTCGATTGTCTGTTTTACGATGCCCATGAAGAACTGTTGCACTTCGGCCGGGAACGTGCGGAGTTTCAACGCCTTGAAAAGTTTCGGGAAGAACACTCGGACCATTTTGGCCAACGCTAAGGACGCGGACGAATTGAGCACCGCACATCCCATCCGTCTGAATTCGGATTGCGAGTCTCTCAGCGAATTGCATTCCAGTCCGAACGCGCACGTGCCAATCACGTCTGTAGTGAATTTGGCCGTTAAGTCACGAATTTCGAATTCCGTCCTTCCAGACTCGATGGTTGCCTGCAGACGTAATACAGACCGTATTATTTTATAATATTAGGATTTACCTTTGGTGCATGGTATACGCATAAATTGAAATACGCGAATAAACATTGGACTGAATAATTATGTAGTATTAAGTACCTACCGGGAGGTGGGCTTATTGCTGTTATACATTTCAGTTTGTATATGAGTATACCTACACGTAAACTCCACTCAAAAATAGCACCTACTATATCTATCTATAAATTGTACATTAAACAGATTTTCATAAGATCCATACGAAGGCACATACTCTGCAATGATATAGAAATAATAGATACGAGAACAGGAAAGTACCTATATAAAACCACATAGTACAAGTGTACAACATTAAGCAGTTCAAGAAGCTCTCCCGACTATATTATGGTAAAGACTATATTCAACGATTTGGAAAATTATGTAGAGTCTAATACGACGTTTATGTGAAAATCAGTCTATTAAAACCAATGATATAATTAACAAAACTCATAAAAAAAAAAAATGTATTAAAATAGTGTTAATGACCATGGTGAGAATATGTGTATCAATAAAATTATAAAAACATATGTATAAATATAAATAGTTAAGGAACCATTGGTGTTAATATTGGTAATACAAATTAATCAATACTATTGTATATCTAGAAAATTAAGTGCACTTTTTAACTGTATAAACAATTTTGTATATTATTACTATGTACGATATTAATATTGTATTTATAATTTATCTATATAGGAACTCAGTTGAACCAGATACGAGCTTAGCCCAGTTGGTGTACGTATCAGCTCTTAATAATATTATTGTTATTATTGTATTATAATTGAATTATGTTGAAAAAAAAACTGCCCTAAATATATTTTTATCAGCCAAAACATAAAATGCTAAAAATATGTGTTTTTTTTTTGAACTTCAGCCCGGCAATTATGGCCATTAGCTGTTTTTGTTGTTTTTTTCGGGGGAACGGTTGGTTGAAACACGTTTTTAGGTTTGGCAGAATTTCAAGTTTGGTACCCGTAGGATTCTGCCATGCCTGGTCGGGGGATGGTGGACTCACTATTTAGACAGTTGCCTATCCAGAAAGAAAAGCCTCCCGTGGTTGAGGTTCGAACCGATCGTTGACTCCTAAAACCGCACACTTGTGATAAAATACAGCACAAAACCGCACACTTTTTTAACACTTTTCTTAAGTTTGGTTACACGTCTGTCTGTGATCAAATCTTGCGCGCTCGATTTGAGGCACTTTTTGAAGATGAAAAATTCTGAAAATTTGTATAGACCTTGGTCTTGGATGACAATACAATAATCCGTAAAAAAATTTAAAAAAAAAAAAAAAAAAAATTAAAAATTTTTTTTAACTAAAAAGTAGAAAATAAAAAATTAAAAAATTATTTTTTAAAAACACACTTCTCTAAAAAAACAAAAAAATAATGAAAAATTTAAAAGTGTGTGGCGCTCTTAAACTTGACATATTATACCACACACTTTTAAAATTTTCATTATTTTTTTGTTTTTTTAGAGAAGTGTGTTTTTTTAAGCTAGAACAGCACAATTTTTTTAATTGTTGTATCCAAAAACCGCACACATGATTTTGACCGCAAAAAGGTCTTTACTATAGTACTTTATAATGTATAATATGTACAATTATGTAAACAAAATTTAAAAATTTAAACAAGTGCTCGTAAAAAAAAAATAAAAATAAAAAATATTATTACTATGCATTTACTAACTTGTTTTTGTTTTATAAATAATATTTTACACTCCATTATAGGACTTGCGTCTTAACCACTATTTCGGAAAACAAGACCGGCTAATAACGAGTGGCTAAATACGTGACTAAAGAATTAAGACTTAAAACGTGTTAGCATGATTATTGTATATTATTTTAATATTATCTTATCCGTTATTTAGCACTAAAAATAGTGTGCGTTTTTAAACCACTATAAGTTTAGTTATACCGTGACCGATAAATAGTGTGCGGTTTTTGTCTATCGACCTTTTTGGGGTCGAAATAAAAAGTGTGCAGTCCGAACCGACGCCGTAGTCCACTCTTCCACTCCGCCCCACCATCGCTAATAATATATTATTACAGGTACACGTATATAATATCGTTATAATAATTCAATTATTTGTGGATTTCAAATAAATACGAAAGGAAAAAACTGACTGTTGTTTTTAAAAAATAATATTGAGTAAGAACTACACTTCTACCACAACTACTTACGTCCATGTACTCAATAAGTTGCACCCCGCAGCCTTGTAACAGCCCTAACATACTTTTGATTTTACCAGAGCTGAACGTGGGCGTGAGCTTTTGTCGGAGAGTCTTCCACGTGTCGCCCTCTAAATTGACTAGATGTTTGGTCAACGGTTCCCTGTGACCGTCGTACGAGAATCCTCTGTCCGTGAAGTGTGCGAAGCTCTTCACCAGAAACAACCGAATGGTTTCTGGATCGCGGAGTAGCAGCGTTGGCGTCTGTAACTGGTACATGCCCACAAACTTTTCACCAGGAAAATCACTGTAACACGTCGCCACAATATTGTAGACCATTTCAAGTTGTAGCGGTAGGTATATATTATAATGTTATATCGATATAGCAAATGTAGTGTATAACACTGTCGACCTTTAAGTTTTTTACTGATTGTGGTGTGGTATTTAAAGCATATAGGAGGAGTCCTACCGTGTTCGTCCAGGTCAATAACATTTTATTTCCACCAAATTTGTTTGAAATATTATTTTTTCAACCAACTACTTCATGGAAGGCATAGGCGCAATTTCAACATAAAAACTGAGGGTGCTGAAGCTCTGCATTTCCTGGGTATTTAAATTAAATTATACCTATGAGGCACTTATGACTTTTTTGAGAAAAAATTAGTTTTATGACAATTTAACATTGAATAGTTATAGTGCATTAGGTACATTTTATAAAAATTAATACAATAGTAAATTTTAATTTATTAAAAATTTAAAACAAATTATTTATATTTTATTCAAAAAATATGACAAATAAATATTAGTGTACAAGGGGTGTAACAGACAGACTTGACAAAAAAAAAAAAAAATGAAGCTACTTAAACGTGTGACAAAAATTGTTAAAATTATAAAAAAACATTATAAATATTGATTAGAACAAAAGTTATTCCAAAAGTCAGTTATATCTGTACCTACTATATTATATAATTCGGCATACACAATCACACAGGCTGTCGGAAACTTGGAACTCCAGTGAACACCAACTGACATGTAATTCGTATATCGTAATTATGTTTTTGTCCGAATTAGATGTGGGCACGGGAATGTTTCTATTAGTAAATACTCGCGATACTATAAATTGTCGTAGAGCTGAGTCGCTGCTGAACGTGATAACACTGATAATAATATAACCGACCACAACGACCGGGCTTAGTAGAAACATTGGAAAATAATGATTTATATTCTAAATAGATTTTAATTCGATAAAATTACAATTGTCGAGTTCATTGTTTCATTCATTATACTCTGATAACCTCATGTCTGATGATAAACTGTTTTTGGTTTTTTTTTTTTGTAAAGAGAAGTTTTGATACATAAACACATATTTATTAGATGGTGCTAATTTTAAAATTGGGGGGTGCTAATACCCCCTAAGCCCCCCCCCCCCTATTTGCGCCTATGATGGAAGGCACACTTTTGTTTATGATGGAATTTTATATTATTAATGGTGTATTTTATTTTGTGTATAAGTGTATAACACTATAACTAAGCTAAACAAATTAATTTTCATGTCATTTAAACATTTGAGGTAGACATGTTGGTACAAAAATACTAATTATTAAATTATTAAGTCATTGACGGCACTCTGCAGTATATTTATGAGATAATCATTATTTTAATAATATTGAATCTGTAGTTATCCATTATAATATCATCAGCCTAAACGGACTAAAATAACTATTTCATTGTGGCCCACCTCATCTTAGGTGACAGCACCGAACGTCATACCTACTCGCAGTGCCGCATTTAGACATTTTGAGCCTCAGTACAAAAAAAATTGGCGCCCTTTAAGCCCCAGTGAAAAAAAATTGCTCCCACAAAAAATATGGGAGATAGATTCTCATTAACCTTTTAGATTTTGAGCACAGAAAAGAATATTTGTTTTACAATGTGTGCTTTTTTAAAGTTTAAATTTAAACTAAAAATATTGTTTAGTAATTGCTTGATCCTCTCTCCGCATAGATACATTTGAATTTATGTCACTTAAACCTTGCTTATAATTCATCATATAAGTTGTTTTTTTTAACATATTTAAGTAGGTAGGTAGGTACTTCATGAAGAAATTAAATATAAAATTATATGAAACTGCAAATAAATATTAATTAAAACATTTCAAACAGCATAATACTTAAACTATATTATATAATACTATTACACTAAATTATATTATATAATACTGTTATTAAAATAATTAAAATTATAAAATTTTAATAATTCACAATTAAACAAATTTCTGACCACGAAATTTTGGCGCCCCTAAAATACTGACGCCCGGGGCAGTTGTACCCAGCGCCCCTTCCTAAATGCGGCTTTGCCTACTCGTTACAATGGTATAGTAGTATACATTGTGTGTTATATACATACTTGTAAATATTTTTCAAGCACTCGCCCTGGGTCATTTTTAGCGTCACGTGGTCTTTGATATTACCGAATAATGGTACTGGTGGGGCAAACGTCACCGACTTCGTCTTCCAATACTTGTACGTGGATGTCGTATATTTGTACAGGAATAGTACCACTGTCGTACAACATGCCACGATTATGACGACGGCTGGAAACATGATGTAGGTACCTTATATTATAATGCGGTCTCGTGCTTCGGAATCTAAAAATAGAGCGTAAAAATAATATCTTATATTGTGTATAACCTCTATATAGATAAAGTATATTATTATTATTATTATTATTATTTTTTTTTATTAATTAACCCTCGGAAACTTAGGCCATTGGGTGGTTTTTTTACTGTGTGGGGGGGGGGGTACTGTAGGTTTTAAACACGTTTACACAGTTAGGCAGATTTTCTAGAGGGCACCCGCGCGTAGATATATCTGCCATGCCCTGGTGGGGGGTGGTGGCACTTCTCTCCGGACACCGTATATATTATTAGGTAATTATAGGTATACTGCACTGTCTTGCATTAATTATAAATTTCTCAAACATGCAGTATATAGAGCGTCTAGAACGCGAATGGTTAATCCACGGTTTTGGCATATTTATATTATATTATGATATTGGGTACAATAGTTTGCGACATTTGCAGTCAGCTATTGAAAACAGGTATAATTATAGGGGCTGCATGATATTTTTGTATTTGCATCAATCTCGTCAACAAGTTTTTTATGCTATTTAAAAGTTATTACTGATTGAAGGGAGTTAACGATTTAAATGTATCTACCAGCTATAATATTTAGTAACGAAAAATAATAAATATACATTGAATTACAATATTGTACATCGTCTCGATGAAACATGAAAATATAAATTTGAAAATTTAATGATGTAGGTATAGAAAACAGTAATATAAAAATCCCCTAAAATAAAGTATCTGCGGTTATTAGTTAATTAATTACACCAAAAGATATATATATATATTTTGTCAAAAACTGGTTTTGAGGAAAATCCCCGTGTTTCCTTATTTTTTTTTATTTTTCCGACGATTTTGAAAACTCCTTCGTAAATTTTCTATTTTGATCCATATAAAGTCTAGATTCACTTCCCAAAAAAGATATTGAAGTTGAATATCAAAGCATTATTTCGACTACTAATCGTCTGTACATAAACACACATCATTTTAAAATCAATACAAACAAATTGCAGGAAGATACAGCCTTAAATTTAATATTGAATTATAGTTTGTATTTTGTTTAAGAACGTACTTCAGATGATATATTATAATGTGCGTAATTGAATTGTACAGACTATAACGTTGGTATATCATTTTTGACTTTCTATTATTCGTTCAAAACGGTTTCTAAATTTAATATATACAAAATAGGTAGGTATTTAATGGTTAAGGTAACATAATTGTTAGAACTAAAGGAAATGCATTGATCGCTATCTCTATCCCACTTCAACGTGCCAAATGCGTGTTTTTATATTCTGTACGTATACAGAAACGTCATAAAATTGATTGAATTAATTAGGCCTGATTTACTGTTAAGCGTGTGCTGTATTCCGTATGGCATCCATGATATTTTTCGAAGTGTGTGGAGAATTTCGTATTCCCATATAGATCCCATAGAATAATATATTTAACGATATATCTATAATATTATTTTAAATGAACACGCACAACTGTATATAAAATGGGTCAAAACGAAAACATAATCGTGCAGGGTTTGTAATTCTTTCTTGTTTTATTTTATGTGATTTCTCACAGTTTTATCACATCCAAAACTAAGTTATTAATTTTATGAATAAAATATATGTTTCACAGGAGTTTCAGATAGACCTCTTTTTAAGGCTAGAACTCGAAGAATAGATCTTATGCTTTATGGAAGTCATTTTAGGAATTTTTTTTGTTGGCAGTTTTCTACAATTTAGTGAATGGTTTCAATCAAAATCGTGTTAACATTTTGTCTAGGAAAACAATGAATGTAGAATTCAACTATCATTTAACTCGTAAGTATCCATCAATTATTTTTTTAAAAACTAACTTTTTGAAAAATGTATGAAATTGAAACTTTGAGTATTAATTATCCTATAAATAAATACAAGATTAACGATAGTACCTACATTTGCTAAGACGTTTTTAATCAACCATTTGGATATTTATTTTCATACATAGGTACCTACAGTTGTTCAATGCTTAAAAACGAATAGCGTTATTATTTAATTATTATTTTAAAAATTTTACGATTAAAAAATAATATTTTTATATTAATTTCATTAATTTTATTAAAATGTATAATTGTAGGTTTGAAGAATTTATGTGTTTGAATAAAATTAATTATGGCACACGCAATCAGTCTACAAACGATTTTTTTATATAAGATCTAAAAAATATTAATTCATAATTTATTTTTATTTGCATTTACAATGTAGTTATAGGTACGTATGTCGTGTAAATGTGTAATAAATAAAATGAAGATGAAAACAATTATTAAGAGTACCTATACCATATTATTTTCGTCAGTCATAATTCATTCGTACCTATATCAGACGAATATAGAAGTTTATAACAAATCTGTGGATATTTTGAATGGTGAATACTGCAGTGCTTCACTAAGTTGATAACATAATATAAATATATTTTATTATTTTGCGCTCATTTTTAAATCATTTCAATGGATACAATCGTGCTGTACTTATACATAATTTGCGATTGTTCCCATTTATTATTTCTGATAGAAATCGTTTTTTTTCAGTTAGTTTATTGTGGAATACACTCTTACTTTGCTATTACTTACAGTATAATGTGGTTATATATATTATAATATAGTAAACCAAGCTCTGCTTGGAAATTGGAATATAATATTTATAGTTTCCTTCTAATTAAAAGTCTGAATACAAAAGTGTCTCGTACTTAGGTGGTGAGCGAAATGGGTTGTTATCACTTCTAAATGAGGCGAGTGCTCAACCCAGAGCCCAGTCTCTGTATAATAATATATCTACTATTGAATATCTATGATTTTTTTTTATTATAATATTGAAATCAAATGGCATATTTACACAATGCAATTTTATTTTTTAGCCTTATACTTCAAGAGAATGACCCTGAGCTGGATAAACTTGAAGTTTATGTATACAACATCATCATCACAGCATTTCACCATTAAAATTTACTGTGGTATAATATTATTCAATAAATTATTATATTAGAAAAATACCACGTGTGATTATTTTGTATAATTCTGCTTCACAAACTAAATAAATAAATTACGTTTATCCTAGACTACCATGGCGATTGCGACAATTTTACATTCATGCAATTCAATAAGAATTCAAATTATAAAACCTTGGCCCAAAAACGTCAATATAGATGGTACCTAAGGTGAAATTAAAGAGTAATTACTAATTATGTATCATTATTTTAACCAGTTACCCAAATACCAATGCATGGTATAAAAATTCAAATCTAGTGCGCTCAAACGGAGATTTGTGGCATCTCTAAATAATAACAATTTTTGGGCACTTTAATGTGGATTTTTGGACATCTGTTTACTATTTATAAGTAATAGCATTTGTTGAAGTGAAACCGTTAAATGATGTACCAAATAGTACAAGTTATTGTCTATGTACCATCTATACCAGTTGGGGAGATCTAATTATAATATCGATGTTATGATATATGCAATCAGAATTTACAACTGTTCACACGAGTTTTCTCAGTGAGGCTCAGTACCTATTCTATAACAAACAGTATTCAAGATAATTTATTTAAATTTTTAATATCACAATAAAAATATGAGCAGTCGTGATATATTTAAGTGGCTCAAACAATTTTCTTCGACCTTTGTGATCAAAAACGAAATCAAATTTTCTATTTGTGTGATTTTTATGTAATCTTATATATTTTTTAATGACAATCTATATTGTTTGAAGTTTTATAATATACGAAAGGAAACATTTATCTAAAATTGGTGATATCTAAGTGTTGAATACCTAATGAATGAATATTTGTTTATTAATAATCATTAAACATTTTGACAACCGGAGTAATGATTAGTAGACTAATACTTTTGTAGGGACAATTGCCATATTACCAAAAGCTCAGCTTATCTTTGAAAGTAAATTAAGAAAAAACAATTTGTACAGTATTCGATATGATATTAACTTTTGATTTTTGAACCATGCTTCCGATTATAAAATTGAAAATATAATTTGTTATATTTTGATATTTCTCTGCTGCAGGATATATTATTATATATTTATACTGCTATGATTATTAAGTAATAACTAATAAGGTGGGTTGAACGAATTGTGGCCAACAACAAATCCCAATCCCCGTGTATTATACAATTATATTATTTTAATATTTTATTATATATTATTAGGTACCTACTAGATGTTAATGAGTAATGACTATTATAATTCAATATCATAGAATGGTGTGAATATATAGGCTCGTGTAATAAATAGGGTAACTTAGAATTAATCAATAAAATATTTTAAAATTGCATTGTGTATGGAAAGTAAAAATGCCTATATGAATCAGAAAATATGTCGTAAACTCTCGTTTACCTACATGGCCGCATTACATTACTATCGTATATATAATTTACTATCTATATTATATGACGGGTTGCAATAAATTGCTAAGCTTAGGTTACTGCGCCCTACAATATTGCAGCAGACAGTAGCGTAACATTTTTTGAATTAAACTATTTTCGTTGATTCGTTATTATATTGATATAGGTACAAGGTGAGTTATGTACTGCAGTACCTATGCACATTTGCTTGTATCAATCAATTAAAATCTAAAACAGGTTTTAATTTTTTTCGATAGTAAATATTGGTGGCATAAAAAAGTGAGTCTGGTGCGTTTTTTTGTAATATTAATATTACTAATTATATTATTGTTACAGTGCGCGCGAACTTCTGACACGGCGCCGTGTGCTATGACGAAAACGAATGTTCGACGCATGATAGACTCTACCCACCTGTTAGAAATGTCGAATGCCATACATAATAATTATCTTAAGTAAAATTTGTTTGCACATAATATGTATATACTATATATCATAATATATTGAATCGGGTCAATAATCAGCTGTAGGTTTTAGGTTCCTCCTATAGTTACTGAGTGACTATAATATACGGTACAATTTTTGTTATACTA